ATATATGTACATATATGTACATATATATATGTACATATATATATATACATATGTGCATATATATATACATACATATATATACATATATATATACATATATACCTTTAATTTTTTTTGACTAATTACAATGATTTAGCTTAGCTGGAGTCCAGAGGTGTGAAACTCATTTTGGCTCAGGGGCCACATGCAGCCCGAATAGATGTCAAGTGGGCCGGACAAGTAATAGCATAACATAATTACCTATAAATAACTATGAGTCCATATTTTTCCCCTTTTGTTTTCATGCGAAGAAGTACAGGTATTTTTTGAAAATATTCATATTTACTGAAATATCATTTGAAAAAAACAAGTGTTTGTGCTTTTTTTTTTAAATTCATCAAGTGGGCCACATATAACCCCTTAGCGGGCCGGTTTTGGCCTGCAGGCTGTATGTTCGACACCTCTGCTGTAGTCTGACTAGAGGTTTAAATCTTATGAAGGTATAAATAGCCAAGATAACCAAGTGTGATGAGAAGGGCTAATTAAGGAAATGCAGTTTTCAGATTTTTTGGTATGTGTCATTTTGGAATTTTGCGGAATAAAAATGTCTTTCAATTGTGAAAATACAAAAATTAAAGTGTTCTTCAGTGCCCATTTTTTTGCATCTCATTTATGAAACATTTCTAACAAACTTCTCTTGAGTTCAACAACTTTCAAGATAAAGCGCTTGTTGACGGGAATGGGAAAATAAATGATCGTGGTTTTCTGTGCACGTTCTGACACGAAAAAAACAAAAAAACTTTTGCAGGTTAAAACAGGATAGAGTCATGACTATCCTGTCCAATAAGGACATTTAGTGACTGCATTCTAGATTTGAATACTCTGGATGTTGAGTTGTTAATCTTTCCCCCTCCTTGGGCTAAAAGGTATAAGTAATTGCCTGCACCTCTCTTGGGGCTTTTGAGGTTCGATTACCCCATTTTATCGCTTTTTTTTTTTTTTTTTGAAGCAATATAAGACCTACAGCCTAACTTTTGCCTTCGTATCTTGAACCACATCATGACTCCTTGTGTCTGCACGCATTATGGAAGAGGCTTAATAGCTAAAGCGAGAGAATGTCAAAGTGCACCAGAGCTAAGAGGCATGAACAATCTTTAAACAGGACTAAGAAGCGCAGGAGACTCTCGGAGTTTATCCTCAAAGACGCAAAGACAAGCGCTGAGAGGATTGACCTATAAAGTAGACAGGAAATAACGGTGATCGCACGTGCCTTAAAAAATCAGCTAAATAACTCAGCTAAATTATCAATATAATTAATTACTCTTAATTACTAAGCTATATAACGATGACAAAATCTTTCTCGTGGAGTCAGGTTTTCCGCATGTCAGACAGGTTATTATTTTAGATAAGGTACAAACTAAGGCGCATGGGCCGGATACGGCCCATTCAGGCTTGTAATCCGGCCCGCCAAACTTGTCCAAATGATATAATTGGTTTGTATTGTGATTATACTTCTGCCTTTTCTCTGCAATTCCCACATTTTCCCTATAGATGGCGCTATTTTGTTATTAATTATTCATTTGATTGTTAGGCCATGTCTTGCGTTTAGCTGTGCGAATTTGACCAAGTTCAGCGAGCCACCTTGCATGCGTCATGGATGGATGGATTGCAAACTAGAAATTGTTTGGAGTATGGATTCCGTGGTATTAATATATCAATACTCACAAGAGTATCAATTGAGTACACATTACTAGGATAATATGTATTTTCTTATCAAACAAACCACTGTTTGAGTTGCTGCCACCTAGTGACTGGATGCATGCTTCTTCGCAGTGTGCCATATTTTTACTGAAAGCTCAACCCCTACGCTCTGACCCCCCTTAGGGACTGCACCCCCCATTTTGGGAACCTCTGCACTACATGATGATTGTAAAAATAACCGATTCTCAAAAAGCGTGTCAAGTTGATCATTTCTATCCCATATACTACACAAACATTGAACCAAAACCCATATATTTGTGAGTGTTTGTCTGAATTGAGCAGTATCCTGAGATTCTGCCAAGTCTTTTAAAAAGTTAAAGGGCAACAAAGTTAATTAACCCCCCCCCCCAAAAAAAAATAAAAAATAAAACCAACAGATCCCACGCAGCCAATGTCAAATGACGAACACACTGTGTGCAGTATCTGGATCCACCACAGTCGCTGTAAGCACTACATTCAAAAAAACAACGTACATCTGCCCGCAAGCCTTCGACGAGACCGGAATCCAGATGGTCAGTAGTTCTGCCAGATCATTTAACAACAGCACACCAGCCGAGAGAGAGAGCAAGGCAGCGCTTAACTTCCAGGACCAATTGAACAGAACCCTATTTGAACTTCTGTATCAACACGGCATGCTGTGACATTACACACTCGCTAACTCAAGCCCACATGTGCACCACTGCAATACTTCACAGGCATATCCCCGTTTTCAGCTTCCAGCTATATTTTTATTGCACGTTCTTAGCCACAATCATCGCGACGGCATAGAGTCAACCAGCTGCGCCCGCAAAGTGGAGTGCTGGAGAATTAACATGTGCCAACGCCAGAGGAAATTGATTGTTTGATAATAACAGAAGACAAATGTGAGGAAGAAGTTGAAAACTTTCAATACAAGGATAGCGGCGCACCAGAAGAGAAAGAAGAAGAAAAGAACCCCTGAACAGTGGATGGATTTTATAGATGGTTAAGAAACTACATACGTTTTTTTTTTTGTTTTTTTTTTCAATAATTACTTTTTTCTATGCAACAGCAAAGCGCTAAAACGCCTTTAGCTCAAAATCGCAGTTTAAAACTCTTGAGATTTGCCACTGTTGACTGAAAGGTTCTCTTCTATAGTTGTTTACTAGACTTCGTTGTGTTACTTGTCTACTCGAGCATCGAGGTAAGCACAGTGGTCCCTCGTTTATCGCGGTAGATAGGTTCCAAGGCCGGCCGCGAGAACTGAATTTCCGCGAAGTGGTGACACGATATTTATGCGCAGTAAAATGATGACGAGGAAGGTGATGATGACTTTTACCGCGCAGCCGATGATTGATTTTACGTCTCTCCAGAGGGTGGTGCCATTTCTTGGTGCCATCTCTTCCACGGTTTCCGAAGGTGTAGCCGTAGTAGTAGCAGGAACTGACTCTTTTTTGCGAGGCTGCAAAGACGTTGTGATCGGCAGTTGCTTCCGCTGCTTCTTTTTCCAGTCGAAGAGTAGCTTGTAGGCAGTCATGACGTCGTCAAAATTGGACCGATCGAACTGTATCGTCGTCCCATTCCTGTGACATCTCTTGCAGATCCAAATCCGGGATGCAGTATATTTTATATATATAGTTTCAAAAACCTGCAAAGTCGTAAAATCTGCGAAAGATGAACAGCGAAATAGCGAGGGACTACTGCAATACTTTTTCTGATCCGATGCATTCATGGTGAATGGCGGTCCAGCGATAGATACGTACATGATTTCTAATCTATCTTTTTTTTTAAGTAAGTAATATGCCTAAGGTTAGAGTATTTCAAACATTTAAATTCAGAAAATTTATTTCAATTTTTTTTTTATCCGAAATAGTAAGAATGTTGTTCTGTCTGTTTTGAATAATCCATCGGAGGCAGACAGTACAAAAGTCCAAGGATCTATCCTAATGCAGCCGTGTTCCAGCCTTGTTCTTGGTTCTGGGCTCACACCTCAAACTTTGATATTTTTATCATTTTAGATCAGCCCCTATTCATGCCCCCCCTGAGAAGACAGAATGCTTTGTTCCACCTACTGGGGTATTTGATCTTCTATTCCCTCAGAAAACCCCTACAGGCAACATCCTTGATCTTCAAGTGTGTGCACTCCAAATGCAAGAGACGGTATAAATATAACGCATATATATATATTTTTTTTTTGGTTGATATTTTTTATCTGTTTAATTTATATTTTATATAAAAAAAATTGCTGGCCGCAATATCATGTTGTGGCTGGAAGATTTAAGTGAACTTATGTGTACATTTATTCTTGAAAACTTCAGGTATGCCGTTTCATACTGGTACCTCATAGTATACAGATACAGTTTTCAGACTGCAAAGTTATGCGCATTCACTCCTCAAACGATACCCATTAACTAAACAAACTCCAGAGGAGAAATCCAAGATATCGCGTTCATTCTCGTTCTGCTGATCACATGACAATGTGCGTGTGTGAGGAGGAGGGTTGAGGATCCCCTGAGGGGGGTATATGCACTATGACTCCATGTGGTGAAGCATCTCCAGGAGGTGAGAGGTGCACACCAACACACCAGTGGGCAAAATTAAAAAAAAAAAAAAGTACGAGGAAAAAGCAGAAAAAATTAGCTGGGGAAATTACCACCAGCAGGGTAAGAAGCTCTGTCGCTGAATCCTAGTGGCGTTGGAGCTTAAATACTGTATATCCTCAATTGAAGGCCACGCCCACCAGTGCTCGGGCTGATCATGACCAGCAAAGCCAACAGCCCGGGAAGGGGGAAACACACATTGCAGCTCATTTTATAAATCGATTTTGATAATCAGGCGATTGTATGCAGAATGCTGGAGCTCGCAACACATACAGTGGTTTGTACTGATAGATAAATTAATAAATATTACCAGGCGCTCAATAGTATTTCAATTGAGGGGCGGGGGTGGTTAATATCGGAATCGGAAATTAATATCGGCATATCGGATATCGGCAAAAAGTTCATATCGGGCATCCCTATTTTTAACATAGGGAACAGGTGCCCTGTGGTCATTCGCAATGAC